CAGTGCTTTTGTTCATGACATTATGTGGTCTTCAAAATCAGCCTTCATGTTCGCAGCAGTGAATGAAAGCAGAGTAGAAATTTGGGATCTTAGGGTCAGCATGTAAGTAAACACTTTTCTCAAAGAAGTTTCTGAAACTTAATGGCACAAAGGCTGCACACTATTGCCTCATCACTGTTGTTACTCATCAGTGAGCATTTGCTTGCTCAGCTATTGAAAGTATTGCATTTTAAAATACTCATTTTGTAACAGCACATGGTAGTTACCAGAGAACTGTGATTACAAGAGAAGGAGCTGGATGTTTTATGGAACTGATAACGGGCAAACTGAGCTTTGCTCCTGCAGAAATAATAGATTTCTGCCACAGTTAAAAGGAAAAAGAACTGAAACACTTTGATCTTTCATAAAGACAGGATGGTCAGAAGTTGAGGCAGCTCTCACGTTTCCCCTCTACTGTAAAGCAGGTGCACATCTCACCTCAATTAACCTGTGGCCTTGCACTGCTGGGCTGTTCCATTCAGTATTAACCACAGCATGAAGCCCACATGGAGAAGGAGCCTGTCATATCTGATGGTAGCAAAAAGCAAATTCTCCATATAATAAAGATATCACCCCCCAGCCCATATCAGGCAATAGAACAGATTTTAGGTAGCCAGGATATCTTAGTTAATAGCAGCTGGGATTTTTGTTATGGTAGAGGCCTAAAGAAAAAACTGTTTCACTTCTTAAGTTTTTGAGTGCATCTAGAACGTAGAAAGTAAACCATGCAACACCTATCAGGCTCAGTCAACACAATGTGACCTGTTAATTCTGGCCTTCACTGCAGCTTAGAGCCCGTGCTGTCTCGCTTTGCCAACCCAACAGTCAAATTCACATCTGTCCTCTTTGCTAAGAACACCGACTGCCTTCTTGTAGGAGACAGTCAAGGAGAAGTTGGTGTGTTTTTGCTGCAGAACCTGGCTGCTCTCAGCAACAGTAAGGTATGATCTACACGGGAATGGTGGTAGCTCGTGGAGGCCTGTGTGCTTGTCTAGCATGTCATTCATCTGCAAGGAGGTTTCTGCTAAACACTAGCTAATAAATATTGAAACAGGTGGAATCAGATACAATCCCATGAGCAGATTAAACCCTGAGACGGTTCCTGCTCTTCTGCATACCACATCACCAGAGACCTCAGGAACAATGAAGTCAACATTTAACTTTAGGTTTCACTTGATCACAAATCCAGAGGTTAGCTACAGCTGGATTTGGGAGGGACACCTGGGTCAAGGGCAGGAAGGTGGAGCTCCTCTAAATGCAGTCCGCAGGTGACTGTACTTGGCAGAATGCCTCTACCTGCTGACAATGCAGGACCTGCGCTCTCCTGGCCACCCCCAAGACAGTCTCACTGTGCTGGCGGCAGCAAACCCATCAGCCCTTTGGCTCTGCATTGCCCTCACTCTTCCAGAAGCCACCCTGGGTGCTCCAGCACCAGATGGATCTCTCCTCTGATCCATCCAGCTGATATCCATCTAAGCTTCATTCTTAGGGTAATACAGATTAATAATTTACAAATGTCAGCTTTGCATTTATAAATTCTGGTAATTACCAGCTTCATTTGCCAAGTGCTGTGAAACACAGAGCAAAAAGATAGTTGCCTTAAAAAATAAGAGCGAGGCCATTGTCATCTCAGTCTCCCCTCTGGCAGGTTAAAGCCATTTCCCCTCAGCCTTTCCCTACCAGCCCTTGTCCAAAGCCCTTCTCCAGTTTTCTTGTAGCCCCTTTAGGCACTGGAAGCAGCTCTACGGTCTCCGTGGACCCTTCTCTTGTCCAGGCCAAACAACCCACATCCCTCAGCCTGTCTTCATACCATACATGTATCATCTTGAAAATGAATTTGCTTTCTAAACAAGATGTATGTTTGTTGCTGACACTACAAACACAATCCAAGCAGGCCTGCCAAAAAGTGCTGTTTTCAAGGAGCATTGTTAGAAGTAAGCAGTGTATTACCAGAGTTCCAAAGAAGAATCAGCTGACACAACACAAACTACCTCAGCCTGTTTGCTGGATGCTCGCCACGCAAGCAGCTCTGCTCTCAGTTTGTAAACAGGAATTGTGAATCACTGCACGTCTTACACTGCTCTTTTTTTATCTCTTATTTTACAGGTTTAAGGCTTTACCATATATAGGATATAATTGGTCCTGCTGTAGGTGTTTAACAATAGTTAAACAATACCCCTTCTCGGCTGGTAGAGAGTGAGAAAGACCTATTATAGTATTAACAGAAACCATTTTAATGACTGAAAAAGAATAAACTTCTCCATGAAACTATATTGGCTAGAAACTGCCTTCAAATGCTCTACATTTTCCCCTGGAAGTCCCTCCCCGTCTCCCCCCCCCCCCCCCCATTAGACAAACAGCATTAATACACAGGGGGAACAGAAAAGTCTTACGGATCTTTTCTCCTTGGAGTTTTCTCCTTCATTTTTCCACCAAGGTGTTTTCTCCTTGGGCTACTCAAAAACAAAAAAAGCCAAAATCACCTCCTGCATAGGTCACTCCAAAACACAGCCTAAACCCCTACCAGACTATCCTGCATCTGCCCTGTGAGATCATACAGTAAATGAATGGAATTCCCATGAGATCATAGAACCACAGAATCCCAGCCTGGTTTATGCTTGAAAGGACCTTAAAGCTCATCCAGTTCCAACCCCCTGCCACGGGCAGGGACCCCTTCCACCAGAGCAGCTTGCTCCAAGCCCCTGTGTCCAACCTGGCCTTGAACACTGCCAGGGATGGGGCTGGGCATCCTGTGCCAGTGCCTCAGCACCCTCACAGGGAACAGCTTCTGCCTAAGAGCTCATCTCAGTCTCCCCTCTGGCAGCTTAAAGCCATTCCCCTTGGCCTGTCCCTACAGGCCTGTGTCCAAAGCCCCTCTCCAGGTTTCTTATAGCCCCTTTAGCCAGTGGAGCTGCTCTAAGGTCTCCCTGGTGCTTTCTTATCTCCAGGCAGAACAAGCATCTTGTCTTTCATCCCATAAGCCACCACTGAGATGGAAGCTGAGCTCTGAGAGGCACTGGGTGGTCTGGGAGCTGCAGACCAGCCCACACTAAGCACAAGGAAGGACCAACCTTGTTCACCCTCTGACGAATTAGAGTAATATCAAATTGCCATTTAAACTCACCGTGTTCCACACTGACACTTTCAGAAAGCTCTTTACATGACATAAGTGTCCAGGCTGCTGGACCATGGTGTCTTAGAGGACTTCCAGAGCCTTGACTGCTCACAGAAAATACAGAGCATTTCTACAGATGAGCCACTAAGATCAAGGATCACAGGAGCGGGGTGACACAAAGCTTGGCTGTAAAGCTCCCTGCCCACCTGCTGACGGGGACCATAGCTGCCTGCTCCCTCAAGCATTACATCTTGAGACATGTATTTCATAGATAAAAAACATTCAGACCCTCTCATTAGCCTGACAATAAACATCCAACATTTAAACACATCACTGAAGTTAAAGACCATTTGTAAAGCATTAACGTTTACTTCCTCCTGCATTCTGCACATTTTACAAGGACTGTGCAAGCTCACCCTGGACATAAAATTAATCTTTGTGCATTTCAAAGAAGGACACCCATTAAAGTGAATCATGTGTTAATCATTATTACAGATCTGAACAAAATACACCACGTATTTTCCATTGGTGGTTCTAACTGTTTACTTACTGATGCTACTGGTAAAAAAACGAGCTTTCTGTCAAGGCTGTAACACATTGTAATTCTCCCTGTACACAGTGTAAACTCGTCATCTGGAACATTATGGTGCTGGAAAACACTGGTGCTAGGAAGTGCTGGAGATCTCCTAAGATCCTCCTGCATTTTGTTCTTATCACAGAATTTCTGACCTCATAATTGCCAAGTTTTCTCCTTAAGGCATTTTATTGCAGTATGTTTTTATAGAAGCTGATGGCAACTACAGCCAATGACATCCAAAGCGCCAGGAAGGGACCACTCTCATAATCTACTAACCTCTGGTCCTGGAGCACAGTAACACTGCTCCACCCTGCGCCAGTGAACCCACTTGTGTCTTTCAGCTACCACCAAAAAGACATTCTGATCTGTAGCTGTTCCTGCTCTGTCTAGAGCCATCTCCTCTTTTCCTTGCCTTTTTGGAGATGGGCCATATCCACAGGCCTCCCTGCAGAGACATTTGAGCCCTGCAGCTGCACTGGTGCTACTTCCAGGCAAATACCTATGGATGCAAACTCACAACCAACTCCATCACTCTGTACAGTTTGTCACAGCCAGTTCACAGACAGCTCCATGTGCTGCAGGATCGCATCCTACCACTCGGCACACCAGGAATCAGAGCAGGGCACATGCAGGCTCTGGTCCCTCGGTGCCCCATTTTTGTTGTGAGTGACTGCCCAGCACTGACAGGATACTTCAAAGCATCCACAGTTACCAGCCTGACAAAGAACAAGGCAGAGGTAATGCAAAAGCACACAACTGTGGACATCCCAAGAGTTAAATCCCTCTTGGTTTGTGATCACCAACAGAAAAAGACTGATGCCACTCAAACTGTAGTAACAGACATGACTGGGAAGAGGCTGCATGCTGTGTGGGAAATACACAGGGATGACACTCGTTATCTACAAACCATGTAACAAACACCCTCTCGCTTCTGCAGAACATACACATCAATGGTATCAAACTGAGCCTGCACCCTCGAAGCATGTTGTATATACCATATATGTTCATATAGCAAAGCAGTTCCATAAGGAACTCCTTAAGGAGACTTTAACACCTGAACAAAATCCCAGCACAAATCCTGACACACATAAAACACCACATCACTGGAAGGAAACAAGTCATCAGCTTGTTTTTAGCAAACATTAAGTCATCCTCAGAATGAGCCAGTACTCAGTGGAGCGGACAGGCCCTTGGTATAAAGGTAAGTGTGGCAGCAGAACTCCCCACCTTGGCCTCGCAGGTCCCTCCTGCCCCACCAACATCAGCTTCCAAGCACTCCATCTGCAGCATGAGGAGCACAATGCTAGCACTGGCCTCACTTGCACTCCTGATCACAGCACAGGAAGGCAAAGGTGAAGGGAACAGCATGAGGCTCTGTGGGAGAGACTTTGTCAGAGCCATAGTCTTCACCTGCGGCGGCTCTCGGTGGAAAAGGCACTTGACTGATTATCAGTACCTGTTTGGTAAGTACTCATTAACACATTACAGTCTTATTGCCCCCTGGAAGGTGTGCCCAGCTCCAAGGGGATTCAGAAGAACCATGTCACCTGCAGACTGTGCCCAAGGGCAGAGCTGTGCTCTTGGCTCTTGCTGCTCCCCTGAACAGGCACATCTCAGATGCCAACAGCACAGGCTCTGCCTGGAGACAGCAAGTTTCCTTGCAGCTTGCTTGGCATAGCTTAAATAAAACGCATTTAGAATGAGACTTTCCAAATCAACCTGAGAAACCGCAAGTTAAGGCCAAGGCTACCACTAGGAATCTCTATAGCCCTGACATTTTAAATGTCAGGGACAGCTTTGCACAGTCCATGCAAGTTCTTTACCGTTATCTTCAGTAGGACACACTGCTTTCCCCACTAGAAACTATATTACAACCTAATAATATTATAATTAAAGTATGTTAAATACATAGTCTGCAATTTAAGTACCTTCATGTGGTGGTGTATATATTTGTATTTATTAGCGCAGTTTTAGAGTCAGAAAATTTGGCCATTACTGCTAGTAATTTCTAACTCTGATAGATTAAAATAACTAGAAAAAGGAAACTAAATGAGGCAGATGAGAGAAGCTGAGGCTTTCTACACCTTCTATTCAGTAACTTCAGACTTTTATGAAAATTCTATCATAGTAGCAGCTTTAAACAAACATAAAAAGTGATGCTACCTGCAACACCCTACCGGAGTCTGTTACAGAAGAAACCCCTGCTGCTAAACTAAGCCAGGGAACTACTACACCTTTACAAACTCCACAAGGCAGTGCCTACTTGTACCATGGTATTTAAAATGAACCCAAATTGCAAGTGTAACTTCAGTGGGAACATCCAGAACTTTGGAACTGTGGGGTATTTGATGCCTTAACACCTGCTTTTCAGGAAACCCACACCCAGCTCCAGGCTAACAGGCTGGTCAGGTGCCACTGACACATCAAATCACAGTTTTACCCTTCAAAACAAATATATCAGTGTGAGACTGATAAGGAAACTGTTCCTACAAAGAACACTCTTTAATATAAATCCATGAATTACTGTTTTTTTTACATGCTAATCACAGAATGGGTATTCAGATGTCTATTTTAATACTGCCCTGGTAAAAAGTCAGTGCTCTGGTCCATCTTGGTTTTTCACAGTGGAAACACAGAGGATAGGTAATACCTTCAGCTCCTTGGCCATAGGCTGGTCTGTCTTTCTAGTAAAGATAACTATTACAAATTACTCATGATTCCATGACTTCTAATTTTTATGTGCCAGAGAGTGAAAACCCCCTGCCTCTCTCACAAGAGAACAACGGCTATGCTGACCCCTCAACGTACGCAGACCAGAGTCTGGAGACCGACAGCGAAGAAATCCACAATGTCAAGCCTGAGGCAGAGCAGGACTTGCAGCACTCCAGGAAAACATTTATCCTGCAAAAGCGTGAGGCAGCTAAGCTGCTCACCACATCCTGCTGCAGCATCGGCTGCAGTGAGAGGGATATCAGCACCCTGTGCTGAAAGACAGCAGATGCTGATGGGATTTGATGTAACGGCTTTCAGGTAATAAATAATCATGACATAAACCACTATTATTTCAGTTGTATTCTTGAACTGTAGCTTTATTTTCTGGAGCACACTAGGGAGTAAAGGCTGAATGTTCAATGTAGTGCAAGCTAGTAAATGCTGCAAGGACAGTTCAGGCTGGAATGCCTGGATGCCACAAAGTCTTCACAGTGGTTTAGAATTAAACTTCTAGTCATCAGTACAAATATCTGTTTCCATCTAACTACTGTTCTAGTTCCACATAAAATCCAACAAACCACACAATTTATTATATGCTCATTCTCTTATGAAAGCCCAGCAGCAGGTTTCAGCTGTGAAATATGGGTAGCAAGAAGTCCTTTTTCAGAACCAGAACCAAACCCAGGCCATGCAGACAGCTCTGGTGGAGGACCACACAGTGCAGCAAGTCAGCCAGACCCCACTACTGCAGCAGGGAAGGGCTGCAGCAGGCAGGAGCTGCCACCAGCCATTACCAGCCCCAAACTGGGCAGGCAATAGCTAGGATTTATTTCCTATTCCAGCTGCTTCCAGTAATGACTATACAAGGTCCTATCAAGTGAACAGTTAATCTGCATCCAGAGAGACTGGAAACACACTTCTGAGCTCACAGGGCTGTACTTCCTCTCTTAGCTATAGGTATCTATCAGATGAGAACCCCAATTCAATTTTTCTTTGCTGGATTCAAGCACCTTCAACAGAAGGGCCCAGATATGTTAGATCTATATACTTTAAACATAATTTGAAGATGTTTTTCACTTGATTTCAAACCCTATGGGACTGAGCTAGTCTCCTCAAAGCAGAACCAGACACCTTTTCCTGGCCACCTTTTCTGTACTCAGGGTGCAAGGGGAGGCAGGCCAGAATGACTCATTCTCCTTTCCTCTCTTCAGCAGGAAGGTTTGAAGGTACCCCCCTGTCCCCCAGGCAGGGCAGGGTAACTCGCAGCACCGAGTTATCACAGCTTGATGGGACACAGCACCTGCAACACAGTATGTGCATGGAGCCAGGGCCACAGGCCCAGCATGTGTTTCCCTGCCTGCAGTTGCCATTTAACAGAGACGGTTTTAAAATGCTTTTGGTTTACTTTCCCCAAATCCCTCTCTGTTTTCTACTTGGGGTTACTCAGTAAGAGCAAATTCAGGGCGAAATAAAGTATTTAAGGGACACCCAGTTCTGAAAGCAGCTAGAATCAGGTGCAAATCAGCATGTCACAGCAAATCACGGCCCAGAAGAAACTCTGGGAAGTACAGTTATTACATTCACCACCGGAAGGCTCATGGTAACCACATTTCAAACAGGTGAAAGTTGCCTTGGTCCTTCACAACCCTTTTCCGCAACAGAAACAGGGAGAGTTAGGCTGGATATTCATTTCTCTTGCGGTTAAACTCTACCTTATTCCAAATAAACAGCATAGACATTTGCAAGAGCAAACAGTGACGCATTCTTGAACACGTACGATGAAAACGTATCGCTCACAGGATCCCACAGGCACCTGCTTCCGATCAGGATGCTCGGCTCCTTCAGCTGCCCAATGTGTGTCACCACAACGATCTTGTACCTGGGTATCATCAGGTCTTTTACCCGCGCTTTAATAACCTGCAAGAGAAAACCAAGTTTAGACCCCAGTGAATAGCATGTTCTCCTCTGTACAGACTCACAGTTACCTGATTACAGGGGGAAAGGAAGAGCAAACAGTACCCCTTTTTTAATGCCGATTCTGAGCCAAATCAGCTGAGACTGAAGGGGCAGGACAGTCTCCCCCCAACAAGAAGCCTGGGTTTAACTGAGGAGGAGTCTGCACACCTAGCACTGCTCAGAATTCAGTCACTACGATAACTATCCTGTTTTTAAGAGGTCTGACACGTACCTGGACTTAGTTATGATATTCCTGGGCAGAGCAACCACAGCGTGGAGTTTTTACTACACCATGCGCTTGGCCAGAGCCACTGCTGCTCAAATAAACCCCACAATCAACTCGTGTAAACCCACACCCGCCTCAGAGCGACCTCTGGTGCACCCCGACTTCCCCCCAGCACTACTTTTACACTTTATACCTGCATTCCGGACCTCCCCGCCCTGAGGGCCTCCTCCCTGACACCCCGTCGAGGCGTGCGGACAAAATGGCCGCAGCGGTACCTCAGCGATGTCCTTCACCATCTCCCTGCACCGCACGGGCTCGTAGGGCTGCTCCCTCAGGCAGCTCCCCAGCACATCCCTCAGGATAGCATCCACCGCCGCCACCGGGAAGCGCTTGGAAGGACCTGGGGGCAGGCGGGGAGGTTAAGCTGGGTTTCCTGAGGGAAAACACCGCGCTGAAGCCAGAGGCAGCCGCGTCCCGCCCCGAAGCACCCGGCCCCGGGGCCTACCGAAGGACGGGGGCTCGCTGCCGGCCGCTCCGCCCTGCATCCCGCTCCGCTGCTGAGGGCAGGCGGAATGGCGGGAGCGGGGCGGCCGGCGGCGGAGCACGGCTCCCGGCTCCCTGCGGCCGCGGGGCGGCGCTGCCGGCAGCGAGCCCGCACAGCCCGGCCGCAGCCATGTTGGCTCCCTCCCCGCAGGCTCCACGCACCTTCTGTGTCTGCAGCCGGTGCAGGGGCCCGCAGCCTCTGGGGGCCTTGGGTGTCCCCATGGCCCCCAGGGGTTAACAGAGTCCCTATGGCCCCTGTGGGACCTCAGGACCCCCATGCCCCCCACAGGTCTCCACGTGTACCTACAGCCCCCCAAGGGTACCCACGGCCTCCACAGGACCCCCACATATGCTTATAGCCCCCATGGGCATCCATGGCCTCTCATGGCCTCACATGTGCCTACAGCCCTGACTTGTCCCCATGCCATCCACAGTCCCCTCAATCCTCACAAGCCCTCAGAGCCATGATGCCTCGTGTCCCTACAACCTCCATGTATCCTGTCAGGCTCCATTCATCCCCATGGTCTCTGGGAATCACAGAACAATATAATCCCAGCCTGGTTTGGGTTGGAAGGGACCTTAAAGCTCCTCCAGCTCCAACCCCTGCCACAGGCAGGGACACCTTCCACTAGAGCAGCTTGCTCCAAGCCCCTGTGTCCAACCTGGCCTTGAACACTGCCAGGGATGGGGCAGCCACAGCTTCTCTGGGCACCCTGTGCCAGCGCCTCAGCACTCTCACAGGGAAGAGCTTCTTCCCAGTATCTAACCTGACCCTCCCTTGTTTCGGTTTGAACCCGTTACCCCTTGTCCTATCACTGCAGTCCCTGATGAAGAGTCCCTCTGAGCATCCTCAGAGCCCCCTTCAGACACTGGAAGCTGCTCTGAGGTCTCTTCTCCAGGCTGAACAGCCCCAATGTTCTCAGCCTATGTGGCTCCCATCTCCCCACATTTGCCCCCACACCAACCCCAATGTGTCCCCAAGCCAGGATGCTACACATAGCTCCAGCAGCGGTGATGATTTGGGCCAGGGACATGGTAGCCCCTGATACCTCTGCTCCGCTCCTCCGGGTACTCCCGCACCTGCAAGCAAAGCTCACTCAGAAAAGGTCGTGTTTTACAGATTTTTGTTTATTTTCAAGGAAAAAAAAATAATAATCACATTTAAATTGCAGCTCAGTTGGGGATTTAACGTGGTTCTGATGTACAGAATTCATAAACTTTGTTCTGACGCGGGGGTCCGTCGGTTGCAACGTTATGCATGGTAAATAATTGCATATTCAAGATTTTGTGAAATGGGCGACGGGGGGGAATGGAGGGGAGACATTTATAAAAAACATTATTTACAAAAAAAATGATATCCACGTCGTCGTCTTCTACCCTATAAGGCAAGTAAACATTTAAAATATGTTGGTTCATGATTATCTTCAACGAGTCAATACAGCACATTCATATTACCAGTGGTCAAATACAAAGCTTTGCTGCGAGAGTCCGTGTGCAACAAACCCAGACGGCTTTTACAGTGTTGTTTCTTTTTTTCTCTGAGAACAGTAGGTAAGCAGCAAAGTTTTCATCACAGACTAAGCAGTACCTAGGCCATCGTCCACTAAAGGTATAATATATCTCATTGCACGTTTAGGCAAAAAAGGCCAGCCATTAATTAACTTATTTAACTTAAATCTTAAAAATAGACCTGTGTATCTTAATCCACAAATATTTATAAACATTTTATACACGAGGGAGTTCATAAAATGATACAGGGCGATACCTAGGGAAATCCAATTCGATTCCGGGGCATCCTCTGGGTTCAGAGGTGTCACAGTGAGGTTCTCCTGCGCCCTGTGCCCTTCACCCACCAGAGCTGCAAACCAGAGCCCGCCCCAGTCCCTCTCTCAGACCACAACTAACATCTCCGGATGTTTTATGCCATCCAAGCAACCAGGTGATTTCATCAACCTGGGAGCACTCTGGAGTGGAAAACCCCTCCTATGTGGATTACAATCCCAACAGCCGGGCTGCATGTCTGCAACCGTTCACCCCATGTCCAGAAAGGGGGATTTCTAACAAAGAATAAGATATTCTGGTATGTTTTACCACATACTGCTTGGCCTGAAGTCCTGCTCAAGGGCAAACCTTTGAATGCTTGTGATTTTAAGAGCAACTGGCAGCAGCATTATCTGCAGTCCCTCCTAAAGGGATAGGGTTACACAGGGTGGGGGGTATTTCTTGCAATGAAATAAGAATTGAAATACTGATAATCATAAAATCTTCCCAACTCTGCAAGAATGATTTTCCTTGGGAAATTGTGAGAAAAGAAAAAATTCTGGTTATGAAATTAAATCCTTGAGACTATCATTTTTTACTGAGAAAGTTATTATATAGTGATGGTACAGATTTGGTCACACTAAGCTCCCAAAATTAAGTATTTTAACCAAGATATTTTCAAGTAAAACCAAGAAAAGGGTAGGGGAAAATCACTCCATATTCAGTGTATTGAAGTGGTTTTCTCAAGTAGATGTTGGGTTCTTGGGTAACAGACCCACGGGCTGTATTTCCAAAGTAATAAGATGAAGTGGAGCAGAATTCCTCTGTGATGCACTGTGCCACGTGCCTGGCAAAACAAAACTGCTTTCCTTCCCTATCCCTCCCTGCCTGCCAAAACTGGATGGCATTTTAACATAAAACTTCTCTTTGCCATCTATGTTTTAAAATCCTCCTATAGATAAATCCTGAAAGGGCACGCTGAAGACAAAATTAACTGAAATACCAAATAACAGCACTAACATCACTGAGTCCAACCTGCATCCAGAGTTGTGTAACTTACTCAGTATGAGATCGTGCCCACGTGACAAAGCTTTTGGGAGTGAATCCACACACGTATGCATTAAGAACTCATATCTGCTGGGCAGGAATAGGAGTTTAATGGACAGTGGCCTCGCAGCAAAATAACAGAAGAAGCTTTATAACAGGGGAGTGATACAAAAATCAAATTAAAAGCTTCTTATTTGGTAGTATTTCATAGTACTGAGCAATTTCATAGTTACTAAGAAATACTGTTAAAGGACGTTGGTCTGAAACAGGGGGGAGACTGAGATGAGCCCTTAGGCAGAAGCTCTTCCCTGTGAGGGTGCTGAGGCGCTGGCACAGGGTGCCCAGAGAAGCTGTGGCTGCCCCATCCCTGGCAGTGTTCAAGGCCAGGTTGGACACAGGGGCTTGGAGCAAGCTGCTCCAGTGGAAGGGGTCCCTGCCCGTGGCAGGGGTTGGAGCTGGAGGAGCTTTAAGGTCCCTTCCAACACAAACCAGGCTGGGGCTGTATGAAGCAGCCGACAAAACAACCATCCCTGGGGGACTTTGCCACTCTGCTCAGACACCAGCAAGGCAGCAAAACCAAACCATCAACATGGAGCAGCATCTCCTCACGAAGGTCATGCTGGGAGGGAAAGGGGAGACACATGATCCAAAGGTCCTGAGCAAACACCTAGCTGAACTACACCACCATGCAAAAACCTTGCAAAAGCAGTACACAAAAACATCCCAAACTGTCCCAAACTGCTGGCTTTGATCCCAGTGTAATGGGCTAGGAATAGCTGTTTGGTGTTTCCTGCTGGTGGCTGCAGGGGACCCTATAGAATGAGTACGGGACGTTCTCATCTCTCTACCCAAGCTGCATCCCAGCACCGCCACACACCCGTAGAAGCTACCTCTGTTTTGTGGGACAGCACAAATGGACAGGCTGGGAAGCTTTGGGTTATGGGCTTTTTCATTTAAAAAGCATTTAAAACCCCAATGCTAATGTAAACACTTTGTCTTTCAAATGAAATATAAAGTAAAATAGCTATGTTCTGGTAATATTTACATTACAAAATCCTGATTTTCTGGATTAAGACAAATCTCTTTTGGAAGCATGAGTTTATAACAATTGTACACAGCATCTACTGACTATGCAAAACCTGATTCTTATAGTTTGCCCTATATCCCTGTGTCGCAAAGGGGGAGGTTACACAGTTTATATGGATTCCTATTTCAGGGGAAAAACTATTAGCAGAATTGAACACCCCATCCAGGAGTACCAGCAAGGGTACTTTCAAAAACTGCGAAGGGAAATGAAGCTGCGTAACTGAATTGTGCTTAATCTTCTCTTTAACCTGACAGAGAGACCGAGATGAGCTCTTAGGCAGAAGCTCTTCCCTGGGAGGGTGCTGAGGCGCTGGCACAGGGTGCCCAGAGAAGCTGTGGCTGCCCCATTCCTGGCAGTGCTTAAGGCCAGGTTGGACACAGAGGCTTGGAGCAAGCTGCTCTAGTGGAAGGTGTGGCAGGGAGATGGGAAGAGATAAGCTTTAAGGCTCCTTCCAACCCAAACCAGTCTGGGATCTATGATTCTGTGTTGATACCTTTTGGGAGCAAGCACACAACTCAACCACCCTAACATACATAGGAGTCACCTTAGAACTGAAATATCTCAGATTTTCTTATTTTCTTTTCAGACAGCATTGATTTCTGTTTTCTTACGCCCCTCCAAACTGCTCTGTGAGCAAGCACTTCCCAACATGCACAGTCTGAAGTTTTCCAACACAAATGCACAAACCTAATCCTGGCAGCATTTGTGCCTGTAAAATTAGCACTATTTGTCATTGTACGCATTTCTGAAGTCCCAGCACCCTGTTCAGCAGACGCTCCCATGCTTCTCTGTGCATCTGAACAGCAAGTGCATTTCATTCTGGAAAGATCACTACTTTTCCCCCCCATATCACCACATTCTCCCAGGGCATGCACAGGGATGAGCAGCACAAGGTGCAGGAGCCCACATCGGCTCAGGGAAAACACAGAGGGGCAATTTCCACCCCACAACCTCCAGTTTAGAGTTATCTAAACCCATGGGGCTTTCAAAAATGGGGAAAAAAATAACCAAACCAGGAAAAGCAAGCAAAGGAACATAGAAATGCAACCAAAGAACTGGGAGCTGCTCAGGAAACACATCCGTAAAAACAGCAATTGCATTTCCAGGCAGTGCTGTAAGCTCAGATTTACTACCCAGCCTCTTAGCCTGCTCATTTCCTTATCTGCATCCCTGCAAAAGGGAAGGACACCAAGCAGAGAGAGGTGTTTATCACCCATGCATTCCCTGCTGGCACTCCTGAGGGTTAATCTGTGGCTGCAGGAGAACACTTGAAGGAGGTTTTTTGTAATGGAAATGTGAAGGAAATGCTCTTTGAAGTGACTTTTTCCCTTGCGGTTTTTCTGGGAGACTGAATTAGGAACCTCACATTTACATCAATACCCATCTGGAGTTAAACCAGCTAAACCTGAACGTAGAGCTTTTTATTCATCACCGTGAGACGTACCAAGGACTGAAGTAAAAAGAAATCAGCATGTCAGTTGTACTTAACTCTCTTTTGATGAGGCACCCCCTTCATAACAGCTATCAGTATTGTATTTAAATCGTATATATTGACAAAATGTAATCTACCTCTGTAAGCATTGTGCCATTCAACAGTACTACTATTAAATTTATATACCACAGTTTAAATTACATCCATTTCATGAATGGGAAAATGCTAAAACTCAAGTGTCTAACTGCCAAAATACAGCCTTACTGGAATGAGTACAATTTACAAATACAATAATTACATTTTAAAACCATTAACAATGTTACATCTAGAAGTAAATACTGTAGGACTGGTCAAGACGGTGTTTTCCAAGGAAAAAAAATGCTGAAAGTTGTCGACACTTCCAACAGAAATGTCCCGAGTGCAGGATTTAGTTCATTTTCCTTAAACTGTAATTAAAACCCGTTCCACGCACAGCAGTCCTTGGGTATTTTTCCATATTATTTTCCATAGACTTGCATAAGCTTCCTTCAGTTATCGGCCAAGTATTTACCTAGAAATGGGATCAGAAATCAGCTGTGGCGACAGAGCAGCCCTGAGTCCTGGGGGATGGTCACCCACCTCCGCCAGACCCTGCGCCCAGGGCAATGCATGAGCAGCACATGGAAAAGTACTTGTATTTCTACGCAACAATGGGGCAAAAGCTCTTCCTGGAGATCCCCAGCCCTTGCTTTCCATGCAGGACCCATGAGTGGAAAAGAGCCCATGAAATTCAAGGCTCTCATAGGCAGCAGCAGGATTTATTTCATGCAAAGGAGCTTTTGCCCTTCTGCCACTGAGCAGCCCCTGTCATGCCCTGATGTAGCAGGACCTCTGGGCTTGAATGCTCAACACAAACACTGCAAGGGCAGTCCCAGGCATGCCAGCAGAGCGGAGGGGACCATCATGGACATGGATCCCAAGAGGAGCCACCGATGAGGCACCTACCTGCTGCAAACCTCTTCTTGATGAGGGAGAAGCGGTAGCCGGCGCCGACGAGCTCGATGTCGCAGCTGGACAGCGTGCTCCCCTCGCTGGTGAACTGCACAGCCAGGGGGGCCGGGGTGCTGGGCCCCTCCGAGAGCTGGAATCGGGCCAGCAGAGACCCCACGCCTGCAATTTAAAATCCCATGAGATCATTAGAAGGCCGGAGGGGAATTCTGTGCATCCCAGAGCCTCGTTTGCCAGCCAAGGTGATGAGATGCCCAAAGCGCTGCAAGTGAAGCACACTGCTGTGGTGGTACCCAGCTCCTCAGTATCCCCTGGATGGGGCAGAGCAAACCCCCTCATCCTCCCAGCAGATCTTATCTTTTCAGACACTGCAGTGACATGATGCAGGGGAGCTGCATCAGTTACATGCGGAGAAGCACTGTGGTCCCTCAACCAGGATGCAACATGGGGCATCAGACTTCAATGCAGAGGGTCAAAGAAGCATAAGACATGGCAAACAACCATGTCTAAACCAGGTGTGTCAATACCCATCTGTGATGCCAAAGCTGTTGGCAAAACAGTACAAGCAGCACATACCACTGCTTTGCTCCTAGCTTTGAACAGCTTCAGCCCTGGCAAGTGCCAGCAGGCATCTGTGTGTCTGTATTTGTGTGCAGGCGTGATAAACAGGTTACTGTCTGATCTAATTAATCAAAGTTAATAACATGCACATTTATAGGATTACCTCCGTTTTCTGACTTCTGAGAGATATCAGGGATCTTCCACAATATCCTTTGCTGTTCGGCATTCCTAAAAACATATGAAGAGGAGAATTGGTTCAGCCTGGAGAAGAGAAGGCTCTGGGGAGACCTTTTAACAGTCTTCCAATATCTAAAGGGGCCAACAAGAAACCTGGAGAGGGGCTTTGGGCAAGGGCCCATAGGGACAGGCCAAGGGGAATGGCTTTAACCTGCCCGAGGGGAGACTGAGATGAGCTCTTAGGCAGAAGCTCTTTCCTGTGAGGGTGCTGAGGCGCTGGCACAGGGTGCCCAGAGAAGCTGTGGCTGCCCCATCCCTGGCAGTGTTCAAGGCCAGGTTGGACACAGGGGCTTGGAGCAAGCTGCTCTAGTGGAAGGTGTTGGAACTGGGTGAGCTTTAAGCTCCCTTCCAACACAAACGAGTCTGGAGTTCTTGCCAGGGATGGGGCAGCCACAGCTTCTCCGGGTGTTCAGCCCTGACCCTTTGCTTGTGGGAATGGCAAGATAAAACCACCAGAGTGGGGTTGCATGCTTCCTGCGCAAGAGGAGGACAGGTTTGGGTCCCCAGCGTTCCCCCACCCACAGCCACTTCCCCAGGATGATCCCAATCCTGCAGCCAGGACAGCTGGGTTAGGCAGGGGCATGGCAGAAACAGCAAGCAAGCTCTTCCCCAGGGGAGCAGTCCTTACCACACAGCAGGAGGAAGCACAGCTTGAAGTTTGGTTACTCCTCCATCGACGGGGACGAGGAACTGGACGTTGTTTAGAGCTACCGGTGTGGTCATTGCCTCTGTATTGTATTTGTAGTCGATGCGGAGGTCAGTGCTTGCAGGGTCACACCGCCAGCTCACTGCAAGGTTTAATGGAGTAGACTGAATACCCTGGGCAGATACCTTCCAAAATGACAGAAAAAACATTTAGTTTCCATAGGGGTGAAGGGAGAAAGCCCATTTTACAGACGCAGTAATTGCATTTGGTTTCAGAGGAGACAACACCCTGTGTTCCCATGGGAAAGTTTGAACTGGGCTCAAAACCAGGCAATCTAGTGACATACAGAAGGGTTACATGCCCCCACCTCATGTTACCTCCTCTCTGCACTAGGGAAATACCATCTTTTTCATCTATAAGTTAAGCACACATTTTTTTGGCATAGTTTTATCTCGCAATAAAGCTCCTACCTGGTATTTGAGCATATCCACATTGTAATAGGTGGCTTGTGGTTTCTGTTCCGATACCTTCTTTAGGTGAGTCATCAGATTTGGCATGTTGACCCAGAACTCCTTCGTGTTGGTGTCGCTCTGGATGTTGTCACTGCACAGAGGGAGAGTTAACACTGCATAAGCCACCTCAGCAGAAGAAAGCTTTTCTACCAAGCATGCAGGACGGCAGCGCCAGCCACCAGCTGGGACCACAATAACCCCACGTTCAGGGAAATAATCCCTTCCTCACACACATCTTTGGCTTGTCCTCCGTCACATCCAGGGAGGAACAGCAGATGCAACCTGTAGGTCATCTCGGTTTGCAAACAGGAGGTCTAATGAGCAGAGTGAGGCACAAAAGAAGCAAACCCTGTCAAAGCACTTACTCCTCTCTGCTGATGCTCTTCTGCCTGGCAAAGGGGCTGATCTCAAAAGGGGTATTCAGCAAATAAGAAGCTCACGAAGTTCAACCGGGCCAAGTGCAAGGTCCTGCCCCTGGGTCAGGGCAATCGCCAGCACAAACAGAGGCTGGGGGATACTGGATGGAGCATCCCTGAGGAGAAGGACTTGGGGTGCTGGGTGAAGAGAAGCCTCCCATGAGCCAGCTTCAATGTGCACTTGAACCCCCCATATGCTGGGCTGCACTCCCAGAGCGTGAGCAGCAGCTCAGGGAGGGGAATCCTGTCCTTCTGCTGCTTCCCCAACTCAGGGCAGGCCTCCAGGGAAGATATTCCAGGCCATGTGGTTTTGCACAGCACCCTACTTTCCTGGATCCCCGCATTCCTTTGGGATGCCGGTGGGGTGGGTGCTCACCAGCAGAGGAGCTGGGGGTTTGGCAGGACGTGCTCCAGCCTGTTGTAGTTCAGCACGCGGAAGGTGAGCACCGCTGGAGC